GATTTAGTATCGGCGTTAGATTATTCGGCGGCTAGTTTAAAGCAAGTGCAAACTTCTGACATTTCTCACACTTTCTTACATAACGAGAAGAATCTTCATTCATTGTCGGCTAATAGTATCCTCTTCTCATAACTTCCCTTGAAAGGGCCCGTGCACCCAAATGATTTCCACAAGTCTCCTCATGTATTTCCTTGATAAATCTTGTAGATTCATTGGCTGTTATGCACCTCTAAAGTGGCAATGAAAATCCTCTCTTATACAACTGCCCTTGATACATAATGAACCAGACGCTATCCTTTTAACTTCGGGGATTCCCCTTTATCCACCGGTAATGCACCTGTTAGAAGATATGCTAGGATTTGGTCGTACCATTGACTTCCTGCTTCAACAAAGAGAACCTGTTCCGCCGATTCATCTATTCTTCTTTGCTTCAGAACTTCCACCATGACGGTTCTCTCCAGGTCATTAAAGCTTAAGCTAGCCAACCTAGCTAAAGCATCAACCTGTGAATTTCGTGCCCTTTATACTAATTAGACTTCAAAATGCTGCAACTAGGCCGTTAACTCATTTATTTTTTCCAGATATTTTATCATTATTGGTTCCTGTGCTTCACTGAATTGACTGGATACCAACTGTGAACTTCTTTTAAGAACCAATCGCTTAGCGTTCGCCGCTATTGACAGCTGAATACCTGTTATCGTTACTTCATACTCGGCTTCGTTATTGGTCGCTTTGAACTTAAATTTCAGAACATAATCAAAAGTTTACCCATCCGGAGCTGTTATCATAATTCCTGCTCTAGACCTAGTCGAGGTTGCCGACCCGTCCACGGATACCTGCCATGTGCCTAATTCTTCCTCCTCATCATTGTAAGAAGTTTCTACAATGAAGTCTGACAAGGCCTGCGCCTTAATTGATACTCTAGGCTTATAGTGCAGCTCATATTCCCATAACTCCACAGCCCATTTCAACAGTCTTCCAGATGTATCCATCTTTTGCAATGATTTTTCCAGAGGATGATTCGTAAGGATCTCTATCGGATGTGCATCAAAGTAGGGATGTTGTTTCCTGGCAACAATGACCACAGCAAGTGCCATTTTTTCTATCACATGATGTCGCCGCTCAGCGGCATTCAAGACATGGCTGACAAAATATATCGGCATTTGCTGCTTTACTCTTTCAACTAGCAAAACTGCGGCGGCAGTTTTCGAAGATGCCGATATATACAACTGTAACTGCTCCCCTTGTTCTGGCCGAGCCACTGTCGGGAGAGACCTTAAATGATTTCGTACAACCTATAAGGCATCAGCTTGATCTTTTCCCCACTCAAACGCCTTTTTTCTGCCGTAAAACCATAAAGAATGGGAGTGCTTTATCGGCTGATTTGCTAATAAAGCGCATTAAACCTGTTGTCAGCCTCTGTATATCTCGGATTATTTTGGGCTGATTCTTCTCAAGGATGGCGTTGACCTTATCTGGATTCGCGTCAATGCCACGTTCACTCACCATGAACGCCAAGAACTTCCCCGACCGAACCCCAAACACACATTTCTCCGGGTTGAGCTTCATTTGATACTGCTGTAAAGTAACAAAGGTTTCCTTCAAATCAGTTATGTGGTCCTTTTTCACCTTACTCTTCACTATCGTGTCATCCACATATACCTCTACATTGCGCCCTTTTTGCTTTTCAAGGATCTTATCAACTAATTTTTTGTATGTTGCTCCGGCATTCTTTAACCCAAATGGCATTGCCTTGTAGCAATACACCCAGCGTCCGTTACAAATGCCGTTGTAGGCCTTTCTGATTCGTGAAGGCTCACTTTATGATATCGTGAGAATGCATCCAGAAAGCTTAGCATCTCATGGCCGGAGGTCGAGTCCACCAATCTGTCTATCCGAGGCAACGGATAGCAATATTTCGGGCAAGCTTTATTCAAATCTGTAAAATCCACACACATCCGCCATTTTCCAGTCGGCATTTTCACCATTACGATGTTTGCTAACCATTCTGGGTAAGTGCACGGTTCTATGAACCCTGCCGCTAAGAGCTTATTGACTTCTTCTTGTATTACCTCTATTTTTTCTGTCGAGAAGTTGCGCTTCTTTTGTCTTATCGGCCAAAACTTCCGATCCACATTAAGCTTGTGTTCCATTACTTCAGGGTGTATTCCAGGCATCTCATTTGCCGAAAATGTAAACACATCCGCATTTTCTCTAGGCGGGCTAATTAAATGACATCTCATTTCAACATCCATATCGGCCCCAACCTTCACCGTCCGACCTGGATTTCCTGGTTGGAGTTCAATTTGCACCGTCTCACCTCCCGGTGACGGTCTCGGTACAGTTTCCGGCCTTGCATCAAAATTCCCCATGGACAAGTCCCGCACCAATGGATCTCTTTCCCTTTTTGGATTATTCGCTATCGGCCCCTTTTGCACTGGATTTTTTAGAGCCGTGACATAGCATGATTTCGCCATCACTTTTCCGTCGTGCACTTTTTCCACACTTCCCATATTTGACAAATAGGCAATATTTAGGTGGTAAGTTGATACCACTGCCTGTATGTCATGAGTTATCGGTCTCCTAATAATCCCATTGTATGCCGATGGCACATCTACAACCAGAAATTCAGCCATTGCATCTCTTGTCGTTATTCCATCTCCGAATCTAATTGGGAGAACTATACTTCCCTTTAGTCTCACCGTTGAGCCGTTAAACCCAATTACAGGATAAGATACCGGAGTTAGGTATTGTCTTCCTATCATGAGTCCTGCATAAACAAGACGTTTGCTGAGCTTCCCCCGTCCACCAAGACTCTTTTCACATCAGCCTCGTTAATTTTTGCTATCTGCAGTAGGGGTCATCATGTGGGAAAACTATTCCCCTTGCATCTTCCCTTGTAAACACTACATCTGGAATCTCATATGGCCGCGGGCGATCATTAACATCTAAGGCGTTAACGATGTGCCGATGTTCTGATAGGTGCTTCCGTGCCCCACTTATCGTACCTCCGTGAATCGGCCCACAAGTTATCACATCAACTCTTTTTTCAACGGACAGGGGTGGTTGTCCACTGTCCCCATGCCGACTTACTTGTCCTTGCCTCTCTGGCCTAGCTTCAATCTGCTGGCGCTCCGGTTGCCGATACAGTGGTGGCTGATTTCCCCCCGCATGTAGCCGATACTGAGCCAGATGACCCCTTCTTATTAATTATTCAATATTATCTTTCAACTGTGTACCATCTTCAGTATAATGTCCCACATCTCGGTGAAACATACAATATTTTTTCGCATCCCTTCCTTTTGCTTTCATCGGTATGGGCCTTACCCATCCTTCTCGGTTTTGATTTACAGAATATATTGCGACCCTTGGTGCGTTTAGCGTTGTGTATGAACTATATCGCATTGGTACTTTGGTGCTTCTGACCTCTTGCCGACTTCCTCCCCTTACTAGGGCCGGATTCCTCGGCCTTCCTCCTCCTGACGATCCCCCATCCGATATAGGATGTTTTTTATCGGAAGAGCCAACTCGGCTACTTGTTTTCATCAATTCTTCACTCTTTATGTAATCGTGAGCTTTGTTAAAAGCTGCTGCCAGTGTCGACTGATTCTTCCTGGTTAAGTCACTACTAGAAAAAAGCCGATTTCCGATGGAAAAGTTGTGTCGGAAACACCCCGTTTTGCGTCGGAAAACCCGTTTCCGATGGAATTTCCGTCGGAAAATAGTTCATAGGAAATAGGACCTTTTCCGACAGAAAATCAGCTTTCCAACGGAAATTACGACGGAAATCAGTCTATCGGGAGAGGTTTTACGGTCCGAAAAAATCCGTTGTAAATTTCCGACGGCATTACCTGTCATCGGAAAGTTACAGCGGAATTTCCGTCGGAAAATGCATTAAAAAAAATTAAAAAAAATCTGGTGGCACCACCGCCACCAGCCCCACACCTGCACTTCACCACAACACGCTCTACCACCACACACCACCTCAAAACACCACTATAATCCGCCCACAACACCAAAATAATAAACAATAATATTTAAAAAAATAATACAAAAAAGTGAAAAAAAAAACAACAAACAATCCAAACCAGTAGATATACATATTTGATCGGAATTTCAATAAAAAGAAAAAAACGACAATTAACTATGATAATTACAATTATTTAATAATACATAAACTAACATTTACATAAATAATTTACTATAATCATAAATGTTCAAAAATAAAATAAGATCTAAAATTTAATCAAAATTAAAACAAGATCTAAAATTTAATTTAAGTTAAAACTAGATCTACAAAAAAAAACCTTAAATGCTCGCGACGGTGGGTTTTTTTTCGCGGTGGTGTTGTTGCAGAGACCTTGAGATACTCACGATGGTGGATAGAGGCGGTGGTGTTGCTGCGACGGTTGCTGTTGTTTGCGGTGGTTGTTGTTGGGCAGTGCACCGTTGTTTGAGGTTGATGTTGGAGGTGGTTGTTGCAGTGGTGGTGTTTTTTGAGGTAGATGTTGGTGGTCGTTGTTGCAGTCGCGGTGGTGGGAAGAAAGAGGGGAAAGAGAGGAGAGAAGAAAGAACGGTGGTGGTTTTTGTTGCGGTGGTAAGAAACAAGGGAAAGAAGAGGAGAGAAGGAAGAGGAACAGAAAAGAAGATCCGGAAGAGAAGAGGAGAGAAAAAGGCGAATAAGGAAAAGGGGAAGGAGAGAAAAAGATAAAGGGGAATAAGGAAAAAGAGAGGCGAAAAGATAAAAAGGGGAGGGAGGAAGCTGCGTGCTTTAGGGTTTACTTTAAATGGGCTTTTTGTTTTTTTTTTTTGAAATTATATTCCGACGGAAAAATCCCTCGGAAATTTCCGATGTTTTTAAAAAAAAATTATATTCCGACGGAAAAATCCATCGGAAAGTGCATATATTCCGTCGAAAATTTCCGACGAAAATTTTAAATTCGTCGGAAATATCCGTCGGAAATTTTGGCATTTCCGACGGAATTACCTGTCCGTCGGAACTAATCCGTCGGAATTCGACCTGATTCTTGTAGTGAGTACCTTTTGAATTCTGAGTCGTTAAGACCATTCATCAACGCCATAACCGCTATCTCTTGCTGCAATTTCGGGATTGTATTGGCCTCATTATTAAATCTCCTTATGTAGTCCCTTAGAGACTCATCTGACTTTTTCCCAACAGCCATCAACTCTCCTGAAGTTATCTGCCGCACACTATTACTTATATATTTCCCTACAAATATCTCAGCCAGCTTATGAAAGCTATCAATTGTTCCATTCCCTAGATTGTTGAACCAATCCGCCGCAGCCCCAGTCAGAGTGGTTGGAAACACTTTACACCATACAACATCCGAGTTGGTGTATAGGATCATATGTCCTTCGTATGAAGTTATGTATCTACTGGGATCTCCTCTTCCATCATATCGACATGTCGGCATTTTAATTTTCTCCATTGGATGAGCTAGGATGCTCTGCGCAAATGGTGACGCCCTCAAGTGGACTATTGTTTGCACCGCACCTTGCTGTTGAGTCCTTGTACTTACGGCAGGACCTGAGGATTGAACCTCTGATTCCTAGAGAATCGGTTGTGATCATACTGGCGACTTTTCATGTCGGCGCCTTTGCGAACTTCCGGCCTGATTAAAATGATTTCCATGATTTGTAATCGGCACCGCTCCTCCATCTTGGTTTGCCCCTACTTCCTTCCTTTTCTTGCTCATGGCGCTCATTACCCTTGCTGCCGTTTCCAATTCCTTTGATGTAAACTCAGCCATGGGGTCTAGATCCATCCCAACTTGCCCTTCCGGGGTTAACGGCATATGAAACTGATTATCCTCTAAAGTGTGGGTTTCATCATCAATCTCAATTTCTGGGTCTGGAACCCCAGCCCCCACTATGACCTTCCGGTTAACAATCTTTTCAGCTATCGGTGTGCCCTGATTTTCAGGAATTTTTTTTTTAAAGAAGTGAGGTTCTTAGGCGATAGAAGAAATTACTTAGCTTCGCCTCCTTCTAGCGCCAATTGTTCCTGCAAGGATTCGACAACTCGATTCTAAGATCCAAAGCTCGAGTATGCAACCCGTTAAGCTCCTATCGGCCAGGCGAGAACCTAAACAAAGAGCAGAGATTAGCTAACCCCGGGGTGGATCCGGGGATAACCACTCCGATGACAAAGTCAGAAAATGTTTGAAGAAGATAAGAAGAAGAGAGAGAATATAGAGAGAGAAAGGGATAGAGAGAGATAAATAAATGCTACCTTAATTATGAGGTAAAACCTAATTATTTATAGCTTGGTTAAGTGACAAGTGGCTACATGGCATGCAAACCGATTTGCGCCAGGTGTCAAGTTGAAGACGACACGTGTTGGTCGCTGACAAGATGATATGTCTACCTTTTGCGTAAATGCCGATATGTCTAAAGTTCTGGAGAACCCGAACCCACTTAAGATACCGGCCTTTCTTACATCATCGGCTCTTATTCAGTATCTCCCTATACAATTATAAATCAGTTAGCTCCCTCTATTTCGCATTAGTTGCAACACTAGGTTAGGCTCATAGTAGTTTAAGAAAATTATAAACTTGGATTATAGGCTTATAATATATATATATATATATATATATATATATATATAATATTATATATATGTATGTGTGTGTCACATATATATAGTGTGTGTGTGTGTAGACATCTAAAAATGTCTCCTCAAAATCAAATCCGATGATTAACAACCTTTCACCGCCATTATTAGTCGGGCTAAGTATTTAATCCCGAGAATGCTTAAAGTCCATGTTCAATCAAGCTCAGCTCACAAAATAGTCAACATGTCAGTCTTAATGTTTAGTCAAGGCATAATCCTATTTGTATTTTGGCCCGAACCCTTTTTAATTCATTTCGTATTATTTATTAATTGATCCCAATTAATGAATAATAAACCTAAATAACCCAAAATTATGAAACGACACTTAGAAATACCGAGCTTAATTAGGTTAAAAGTGAATTTGGATGCATTTCTGGAAATATTGTACACGCGACACGGTAGAATACACCACGGTGGACAATGCCACGTCATTGTGTCCAGTGCCGTGTCATGGTACACATGCCGTGACACGTGATTTTTCTGTGTTTTCTCCGCGTACAAAACTGCACGCTCTTAATCCATCTGAATGTATTTAGGGAAAATAGTGCCCCGTGACACGATAAACTATACCGTGTTGCGCAGACATGCCGTGTCACGGTCCCCCAAATTAGGGTTTTTATCTTTTCTAGGGTTCTGTATGATCCTCTACTCATTTCCTCTATAAATACGAGCCTCATTTCTGCAGTTCGGGGCATAAAACAATTCTCGATTCTCTCTTCTATGCTCTAGCATAAACATTAGCCTACCCTATTATATCACAATACTTCCCTTAAGCACTCCAAGGAGTCCATACTTTACCCGAGGTTCCATCCTTAAACTAAGGCGTAAAAAGATAGAACTGTTTAAGGGTTTGACCTATAATCAACTTTATTTAATTTAATTTTTATTATTGTTTTATTAATTTCCTTGAAGTTACTAATGTGTTTATTATTTTGTAGTTGCAAGCAAACAAAATCAAAGTAAGGAATCATGTTCCTTTTATTTCTATTATTTTTCAAACGATTGTTGTTATGTTTGTCATATATTAATTGTTGGATTATTGTTGAATTGCTTCCAATATTAATATTAATTTTATTATATTTATTGATAACCATATTGCATGTTTAAAGGGAATATGTAATTATAAATCACACCTAATAAGATAATTTGGACGACCGACTTAGGTTCCTTTTTAATCTTGTTATTAATTCAAGTGATCACAATATTTTAGAATTATGTGTTGCATTAATATTCAACCAATTTAGCCTAATAATAGTTTGGAGCGAATTGAATCTTTTTTTTCATGCCTTTGAGATCGTAGGAATACTTTTCACTATAAGAATCGAGTAGAGGCCAATACGGGCGAATGCGACTCCATGACTCCCTTCGTACCATCATTCCCGATCCGTCTTTCGTGGTTACAAATCAGTTGGAGTTATTAATCTCATGGATTATGAATGGGGTGAAACCTTCACGGGTCAATCATTGTTTCCTACGTTGTCCCTTTATTTGTGGTTGTCTATTATGATCCGCAAACGGTTTACAAGTTCCTTAAAAACTTGTGGCGGCTCCCTACTTTCTTTGTCCCTAATCGTATATGTCAATTCCCACTTCCTATGAGTGCCAAGCATATTCAAAACATGCTAAGGTAGGCGCGCTTCGAACGAAGCCTACACGTGAGAGAGATTGATAGGAAAGATAAATAATAAAATATTTGTAAAAGTGGGGTTAGTGGGAGAGAGAAATTATAAAATAATGGTGGGTCTTTTCCAAATACTTCCTCCGTTAACGGTTAATTGCAACAATTAATAAAAATGGGTGCTAAGCTTTAATTGCAACAAAAAAAATTCTTTCCTTTTTTTGGTAAGTTTTCTTTACCAAAATGACCAAAAGACCGTCACTTAAAAATTATTATTAACACATAAAACTATACAGAACTACAAATCATTATAATCCTAATTTAACTTAATTAAAATCACATTAATCCCCATTCCCAATTATCTTTCTCTCTCCTCCTCCTTCTTCATCTTCATCTCTCATTTCCCCATTATATTTCTCTGTCCTCCTTCAACCATTCTCATCAACTGAAGAAGAAGACCACCTTTTTATTATTCAATTTCAGATCTGGGTTTTGGGGGTCAAGCAAGTGTTTCATGGGTGGTGGTTTTGTGGGTTGGTGGTTCGTGGTGGTGGTTCGCGTGGGTGGTGGGTTAGTTCGTGGATTTAGGATTTGGGTTCGCGTGGGTAAGTTAGGTGGTGGGTTCGTGGGTTTGTGGTGGTGGGTTCGCGTGGGTAAGCTAGGTGGTGGGTTCGAGGGTTTGTGTTGGTGGGTTTGTGGTGGGTTTGGGTTCGCGTATGTGAGCTAGGCGATGGTTTCTGGTTTTGTGGGTGGTGGCGTGGGTGGTGGTGCTTGGTGTTCTGTTTAATTGTGGTTTTAGTTTTTGTTGGATTAATATTAAGTATATGCCCATACTTTTCATTAATCATAGTTAAGAAATTTTACCTTGGGTTCCGTGCACACCCTCTTTGTTGCAATTAACCGTTAACGGAGGAAGTATAATAGTTTTGCAACTAATATGAAACGGCCCAAAATGGAAAGTGTTATAACTAATACGAAACGAAGAGTAGTTAGATTAAGTTCGTGGGCTGATAGCGAGCCGATGACCATGAGGCCCACCAAGAGAATATAGGTCATACAACCATGGCGCACGAAAAGCCTACATGGGCTATAGGGCCATAGATGTATGCCCAAGCACCATGAGCCTAATGGATTGTGTCACATGTGTGCACACATGCCAGAATTTCTTACTTGCACTATTGTGCAACTAAGATAGCTCGCCTAACTTAAAACACATCAATCAATCAATAACATAATACTAAAACAAACATCGGAAATGACACATGTCACTTTCTGGTGTTGTTTTTTCCCTCCAAATTGGTTTCTCTTTTTTTTTTTTAACTTCTTATGTTAAAATTTGTATTTATAATATATTCATCAAATCATTTAATTGTGATTCACTTCCAAAAAAATAAAAATTTGTGACTCAGATATTATATTTTCCATATCTTTTATTATATAGATTATTATTGAATGTTTATATTATCCCATCTATAACGTAATATTAAAATAAACACTAGCCTCTTTCCTCCTTTTTTTTTTTTTTTTTCTTCTACACAATGAGATAACTACTTATTGTAAATTATACTAAAAATATTCACCAAATCATTTAATTGTGATTCACTTACCTTAATTTATGATTCATAAATTTTTTTTATAAAATATTAGTCTAATTTGTATTACTTTGTTTATCATAGGGAGTATTTATTCATTAAAATAAAATATTTATCTTTTAATATGACAACACTTTATATGTAATTTTTTATTTATTTGTTCAAATTTTCAAAATATTTTATCTATAGTAAGATCCCGTACTCTTCACCTTATTTTTGCTGAACTGAAATTATTTTTACTGAAACAAAATTATATTTGCTGAACTTAAATTAATTTTACTGAACTTAAATTAATTTTATTGAACTGAAATTATTTTTGTTGAACTGAAATTATTTTTACTGATTTTCTATTATAATACTTCTTTAAAAAAACTGAATTTTACTGAACTGAAATTATTTTTACGGAACTGAACTTATTTTTATTGAACTAAAATTATTTTTACTAAACTAAAATTAATTTTACTGAACTGAACTTATTTTTATAGAACTGAAATTATTTTTACTTAATATTATTTTTGTAAGGTGAAGAGAACATAGCCTAATTTTGTAACAAAAATAATAATAATGTGTTTTTGAAACAATAGATTCATA